GTATATTATATTCATAGGTCTAAAAGCCTAGCGTACGGATATCGCGCTGCTGCGGGTCCACTCTTGCTCGCTCGGTGCCACTGGAAGGGGTGCCCTAGCTAGTACGTAGTAGGTTCGTTAAATGGTAGTCTAATTGCAGTACGTTAGCCTTTACATCGTATTTTGTAGGTCTAAAAAGCATACGGATATATATTACTGCTCCGGGCCTACACTCTTGCTCGCTCGATGCCACTAGAAGGGGTGCCCCAGCTAGGAGGTAGTAGGTTCGTTAAAAGATAGTCTAATTTGCAGTACGTTAGCCTGTACATTATATTTATAGGTCTAAAAGCCTAGCGTACGGATATGGCGCTGCTGCGGGTCTACTCTTGCTCGCTCGGTGCTACTAGAAAGGGTGCCCTAGCTAGTCGGTATTAGCTTCGCTAAAAGACAGTCTAATTTGCAGTAGGTAAGCTTTTGTAGGTCTAAAAGCCTATTGCGGTGAGCATACGGGTATATTGCTGCTCCGGGCCCACACTCTTGCTCGCTCGATACCACTGGAAGGAGTGCCCTGGCTAGTACGTAGTAGGCTCGTCAAAAGGTAGTCTAATTTGCACTACGTTAGCCTGTATATCCTATTTATAGGTCTCAAAGCCTAGCATACAGATATTGCTGCTTCGGGCCTACACTCTTACTCGCTCGGTGCCACTGGAAGGAGTGCCCTGGCTGGTAGGAGGTAGCTTCGTCAGAAGGTAGTCTAAATTGCAGTACGTTAGCCTTTACATCGTATTTATAGGTCTAAAAGCTTAGCGTACAGATATCGCGCTGCTTAGGGTCTACTCTTACTCGCTCAGTGCCACTAGAAGGGGTGCCCTAGCTAGTAGGTAGTAGCTTCGTTAAAACGTAGTCTAAATTGCGCAACGTTAGCCTTTGTAGGTCTAAAAGCCTGTTGCGGTGAGCATACAGGTATATTGCTGCTCCGGGCCCACACTCTTACTCACTGGATACCACTAGAAGGTGATTCTGCAGGAGGGTGATGTCGGGCGGGGCGCCGGGCCAGGGGGGCCAATTTAGAGGGCGTGGAACTGGACACTAGAAATGGAGTTCAAATCGGACCGTGGTGGGAGGAGCCCCAGCTAGTAGGTAGTAGCTTCGTCAAAAGGTACTCCAAGTTGCACTACATTAGTCTTTACATCATCTAAAAGCCTACTGCGGCGAGCATACCGATATCATGCTGCTCGGGGTCCAGTCTTGCTCGCTCGGTGCCACTGGAAGGAGTGCCCCAGCTAGTAGGTAGTAGCGTCGCCAAAAGAGAGTCTAAGTTGCACTACGTTAGTCTTTACATCATGTAAAAGCCTACTGCGGTGAGCATACAGATATATTGCGCTACTCCGGGTCCACTCTTGCTCGCTCGGTGCCACTGGAAGGGGTGCCCCAGCCAGTAGGTAGTAGCTTCGTCAGAAGGTAGTCTAATTTGCACTACGTTAGCATTTACATCGTATTTTGTACTTCTAAAAGCCTGTTGCGGTAAGCATACGGATATCGCGCTGCTCAGGGTCCACTCTTGCTCGCTCGGTGCCACTGGAAGGGGTGCCCCAGCTCGTAGGTAGTAGCTTCGTCAAAGGATAGTCTAAGTTGCACTACGTTAGCCTTTACATCATCTAAAAGCCTATTGCGGTGAGCATACAGATATCGCGCTGCTCGGGGTCCACTCTTGCTCGCTCGGTGCCACTGGAAGGGGATTCTGCAGGAGGGTGATGTCGGGCGGGGCGCCGGGCCAGGGGGGCCGGGCCAGGGGGGCCAATTTGGAGGGCGTGGAACTGGACACTAAAAATGGAGTTCAAATCGGACTGTGGTGGGAGGAGCCCCAGCTAGTAGGTATCAGCTTCGCCAAAAGATAGTCTGAGTTGCGCTACGTCAGCCTTTGTAGGTCTAAAAGCCTATTGCGGTGAGCATACGGATATCGCGCTGCTCGGGGTGCACTCTTGCTCGCTTAATACCACTGGAAGGGGTGCCCCAGCTAGGAGGTAGTAGCTTCGTCAAAAGGTAGTCTGAGTTGCACTGCGTTAGCCTTTACATCGTGTTTGCAGTTCTAAAAGCCTATTGAGGTATCCCAAGCAGTCGCAAGAGGTGCTCAAACTTATGTCTTGTTACTGTAGAAAGTGATGGAGGAGGAGGTACCTTGGCGTTGGGTCACGATACTTTGAGAAGTCCTCTATATAGGTAAGCCGCTGTACACGGAAGTGGTTGACTTCGTTTCTGTCAGGAGGTCAGTCCTGCACAAAGAGGACTCGCCAGGAAGAATAGGTGTGCGCAACCCAACTTCTGAGATCCAGAGGGAAACTTACTCGCGTCGCCAGGCTGATGCCGCTGTCAGGGGACCTCCATATACAAGGCTCTGGTGAGGAAATAGGGCACTCCAATCTGATGACTGAGGTTTAGACCGCAGCGTGATCAGTTCACCAAGCCGGCCCTTCTGTCGGGAAGCGTCCGTGGTGGTAAGTGGATGCGCAAAAGAGCAACTAAATTCACCACATTTAGGAGGTCGTTTTACCCACTAGAAGCATCTCGTGTAGGAGCTAGGCGTGCTTACCTCGACTCGACTACCGCAACTCAGCGTAGGAAACCGACTAGGTGTCCAGGCTGAACCTGCTCTTAGGAGGTCTCTGTGCCAAAGTAGTTTCTTGCTGAAGGTCCGGGCACCTCCGTTTGTTACTACTGTTTAGGGTGCTCCTATCGCCTTCTGATATTCGACACAAGACGTCAAGGCTAGTTGCAGTGCAAATCCGACTAGTCTCTCGACTGAAAGGCTACTTGCTAGCTGAGTTGCTTTTCGTAGGGGTATTGAGCGAGTAAGAATGGATCTCGAGTAGGAAGAATATCCGTGTGCCCAAACCTAAGTGTTGCAAAAGTGACTGGATTCACCAAAATTCAACTAACCAGTCCTATATAGGGGTCTGGGGGAAAGATTCAAGTGTGCCCCGAACTGTTGCCTGGAGAATCAAACCAGAACTTCTTCGACTAGGTAAGCAGGCTCATGCCGCATCCAGAAGGCGTTCGTGTAGATTCGTGGGTGTGCACGGGGGCGGCCGACTTTGACCAAGTCAGCGCGCTGTGTGTAGGTGGACTACACTCGAGCAGCGGACAATGCTGTCTGAGGTTAGTCGGACGAGTTGAAACCTCGTCTAAGCGTGTTGACGTACGCTTTGTCGAAAGTATCGAAGCACTTCAGGCGTGTTGTAGGCGAGTAAGCGTATGTAAGAATCTTTCTCTTGGCGAGAAACTCGAGTCAGCACTGCATTTGAAGAAGGAAAATGCGAACAGGCCGGCGAGATTAACTTACTTACTATATCCCGCACGGCCGACAGCTCGTGCTAGTACTGCTGCCCTGATGGCTTTCGCCCAGATACGGAGGCGTGCGGAGAGGAGACTGATCTCGATCTAGCAAGAAGTTAGCTCTACTGTTGGGAGGCTATGTTGTGGATTAGTACATTTGTACACACCGGGATGACTTTGATTAGAGCTCTGGAAGATGGAATTGATGCAGTTGTGTTGATAGTTGAATGAAGGAAGTTGAGAGCTCGTAGGTGAGGTTCATAAGCTCCCTCTCGCGGAGACAATTGCGTTGAATCACCCTTGTGGTAGGAAGTCTTCCAAGCAAATAGAGGCAGGATTGCGGAAATGGTTGATCACGAATAAGCCAGCAAGGTTGATGGAGGCGGACGCTCCTAGACGTGCGCTGTGTTTGAAGAAGAAAGGGAGTTGAGAACTATCAAGCGAGGGTTTAGAATCTCTCTCGCACGTTTGCTGCTCCGAATCGCTCTTGATGCCTGAAGACATCCAAATAGATGAAGAAGGATGTGCAAGTAGTTGATCTCTACTAAGCTAACGAGCCTAATACATCTCTTAAGTATTGAAGAAAAGAAGCTCAGAGTAGCCAGAGAAGTTTGAAAACCTCTCCCTTGCACGGTGGCTGCTCCGAACTACCCCGGCTTCCAGAAGGTCTCGGTGTAAAGGCAGGAGAATCCAGAACAGATTGAAGTCGACTAGACGAGAAGACTCGGTGCAGGTAGAGGCTCGCAGGAGTGTTGAGTGCTGAGTGCTGAGAGGTTGACAGGCGAGGCTTATATACTCTCCCCCCTTGATGGCGGCCGCTCCAGATCAGTTTTGATTCTAGGAATTCTTCGTGCAAGCAGAGGCTCGTAGGAGCTGAGTGCTGAGAGGTTGATAGGCGAGGCTTATAGACTCTCTCTCTGATGGCGGCCGCTCCGAACTACTCTGGCTTCTAGAAGGTCTGCGTAATGAGGTAGATTTGATTTGAACCGTTCGTGTAGAAAAATTGTCCTGAAGTTTCGAGTGTGCCCCGGATGGATGTGTGTTCTTGATCAATTGGACGCAGCAAAGCCGAGAGGGGCGTCGAACAGAGAGGAGGCTACGTAGATGTGGCTCGTGGGATGAAATTGGCTTTGGGCTAGCAATCGTCCTAGGGCTTGGTAATCCAAGAGTCTGGGTGAACTTTTTGCCACGGCTTGGGTGCTTTGTTATCCTTTCTGGGGTTGCTCGGGCCAAGGTGCACTTTGTTGCGTAACGAATGGGAAGGGTAGTTTAGCGAGTCGACGGCTTCAGGTCCGTCATGTGCCTCAATTTATCTAGAGCTCCGAGTGACGTCCTGCTTGTCTAGGAGAGTGACGAGAAAGTCTTTTGGATGAAAAGGGGGAGTATGTGTCAGCCTTCGTTCAAGACATCACTCAGACACGGGGCCAATGCGCGTTCTAAGACGAGGTTTCTTTGGAAGTGGTCGACAAATCAGACAAAGAAGGCATGCGAGATGATTGGCTTATCGATTGGAGTAGTGGGGTGGACAACAAAGAAGCACTTTTGCATGCATAACCTGGAATGTGAAGTCCCGAAAAACCACCAAACTTCAAAGATTATAGAGAGAATGCAATGCTTCTACCGTTTGGCTTAGTAAGTCCATAAGCAGTAATGGCTACATAGAGTCGTTCCTTGAGGTACTTCTCAAGGTGCGAAAGTACCTAACTTAGTCAGTCGAGCATATAATCAAATCAAATCCGGCGTGGAGCCCGCTCGTCGTGGCGCAACAAAGGGCCTCGGCAAGATCCGACATCTCCTTCGTGCGCTTATCGCGCTCAATCCCCCTGGGAAATGCACAAGCATATACCGAATTTCGGCTGGTAGGCAGCCAAAAGAGGCTTCCGTGACGCTAATACACACTGCGTTGCGGCGGGAAGGTTAAGAGACTCCCTCAGCGCGTCGCGCTCAGCCACCCGGGGCGCCTTAGGGAGTGGCGCATCCTGCCTTAGGGAGTGGCGCATCCTGCCTTAGGGAGTGGCGCATCCTGCCTTAGGGAGTGGCGCATCCTGCCCCGGCCGCTAAGAATAGCTAGGCTTGGCCGACGCCATCGCCCCAGACCTACTCCGCACCGCCGCACCGCCGCACCGCCGCACCGTCGCCGGCGAAGGCACCATGGCGCGCCACGGCAACAGCCATGCCTCCGTGGACAGTCTGCTGCTGGGCAGCGTCGTAGAAGGCTACGGCTCTTTCAGGTAACGTAGGTGATGGGGTTATTACGGTGCAGGTAGTTATTGGGGCAGAATCACCTGACTCACCTGTCACCGCCAAGAAACAGAAGCACGGTCCTGCTGCACGCCCGACAAGCGCGAACCCCAGCCATCTCTTCGCGCCCATCGTTCCCTCCGAGAAATCGACATGGCCCATAATCGCGAAGAGCCCCCGAAGCGTCCGCAGGATTAGCCTCAAAGAGCCCAAGGTACATCTTCCGCTGATTTCACTCAACAACCGGCTAATTTGCGTGTAGGGAAATGTTCTTGAGGTGTCAACAAAGTAAGAGCATAGAGACCTCGTAGAAGCGCACGTCTGAATCCTGAGTCCAGCAAGCATACTTACCAGACATCACCTCCTACGGCGACGAATACTTCACAGAAAAAGGTATGTCTGTGTCTTTCCCCATCTGCACGCCTACCAAAGCTGAGTCTTTGCAGAATTTATCAAACCCTCCCCAGCCGAGAAGTCGAAAACAACCACGAGAAGCGGACCATCTACCCCTTAACACTACAGCACCCCACCCAAAGCAGCCGCGAGCATCTCCTGCAACCTCTACTGCTATAAGACGGGCTGATCTAGAGACGTTATCTGGCAGCATCGAGGCGCCTATTAATCCTATTGATTACTGGCGGAGAGAACAAAGGTGGCCTAAGGAATACTTTAAGCCAGATATAATAAGTTATCTATTTGCAAGGATAAGGTTAACGCCTTCTCTTCGCCGCAAATAATTGGATTTGGATTTAGGTTCGCTTGCGGCTAGCTCTATTACACCCAGCAACTAGAGACTAAAAGAGGAGAAAAGTGCTCTGTATAGGGATATATGTTATATAACTTTACTTAAAACTAAAGGAAGCTACATAGGCAGGTATATAGAAGAAAACAAAGAGGGCATTATAGAGGAAAGCAGAAACCTTTGCCGAACCCTACTAGAGACGGAACAAATAGTCCCTAAGAATTCCTTATTTAAGGATAAACTTTTCCAGGATACCTGCAAAATGCTGCAGGACCGGAATAAAGCAAAGGTTACCCAAGATATTTCTTAGTTAATTATCCTGTCCGCCTAGTCCCTAGCTATATATAGCGCCAAGTATAGCGCTAAACATCTCCAATATCTAATTAAAAGTATTAACAAAAGCTAGAATAATTCTATCCCCCTTACTAGGTCTTGTCCTTAGTCTAACTATACTATAGGATTTAAATAAGCCGCGTTTACGGGAGATTAGCTTAGCAAGCTTTTGCTATTTATTGGCAACTTTACTACCGGCAACTAGTCCTTCTTTATAGCTATATATTATATATACTTTCTATTCCTTACCTGTAAGGTAAAGTGCGGCGCTGCAGCTCTTAATATTACCGGCCGATAGAATATACACAGCATAATACTTATAGTAAGGGCTATTATTAAGCTCTTCCGGCTTGTTAAGCGCGAGAAGGAAATCTATTGGGAAATCCTCGCCTTCTCGGTCTTGTATAATAATTACTTAGTCCAGATCTACGGCCACTATACTGTTATTAGTAGGGCCAAAACTACCTTCTACTGCCACCTAATCCGCGAGTTTAGCTTTCAGGAAATAGATAGGAAAGAGAAGTAGACGGCGTATAAATTCACTAAAAACATCTATAATATTTAGATACTAAACTACTTCAAATGTTTCTGCTCAGTTATTAATAAGCTACCGCCTGCGCATAACTAGGATATCCCGCTGCTTTCGGAGGGAACTGGGCTTTCTTAGGTGTTTAAAAGTTATTATATGTCTTAATTAAATACTAATTCTGCCTTAGTGCTCCAGGCGAGCCTTTCTAGATCTTAAAATGTTACTCTAAATACGTTTTTCTCTTAACCCCGGCCACCTAAAAAGCCGCGGAACAGGCGTACTGCTAGGCAGTAGCGTTAGAAAAGCGATATATTTCACGGAATATCTTGCCAACTAGTTTCGGACAAGGGGGGTTAGGATAATTAAATGCTGGCTTAGGGTAGGAGGATAATTAGCTTATGCTGTGTACTACTTTATGCTAGTAAATTATTATTATTATTGCTACGCTATAAAGTTCTAACCCAAAGGCAGCTTAAATTTAACCCGACAACCTCTCTTTAACGCTATACAATCTCCGCCGGCTATATTTTAACAAGTTTCTGCATATAATCCGGGCCTTATAGGTAGGGAAGTTTTATAGGTAGGAACAGGTTATAGGCAGGAAAGAGATGCTGGCCAGGAAGGGCTTACAGGAAGTCGGTTTTAACATTCTCGAAACTTAATCCTAACTATCCACCTAATCCCGTGCGGGCTGCAAAGGCTATAAAAGGACACGCCCGTATAGGCCGGTTAATTATTAGCCTTATAATAATTTGGTTATATAAAGTGCTAGTATATAATCCTGTAACATTCCTCTCTATATAGCAGAAAACCCTGCGTAGCGGAAACCTACTAGTGCTTTTTATTATAATAAAGTTAGGGGACTAGTAATCTTACACCCCCTAATTCCTCCACGCACACCCCCCTTTTCGCTATTCGCACACCCGCCCTTCTTGGCGCTTCACCACCTTCTAATTGGCTTGGAGCAGCGCGGAGCTTCCTCCGGGCATTCATATTTACGTCTCTCTGCACGTAATGCTATACGCGAGGCCGTATGTAAACTTGTACATGAGGCTATACGTAAGGCTATATAAATCGGTATAGCTATACAGCCTCTCCGTTTTGCAGCTTATCTTTTCTATTTCCTTTAGCTATAAGTAATACTATACGTGATGCCGTACGTAAGGCCGTAAGTGATGCTGCACGTGATGCCGTATGTGATGCCGTATGTATAGCTAAACGAAACTATTAAAACATCACCTTGTAGAGGCTCCTTTCTATCAAGCCTGGCTCGCCTGCATTGCCGCCTGCATTGCTACCTGTATCGCCACCTGCATTGCCACCTGCATCGCCGCTTGCGCTCGCTCATTCACTTCTAAGAGGAGCACGATAGGAAGCTCCGAAGAGTCGGCCCGGCCGCGCCAGCCAATTAGGAGATCAGACGAGAGGGGGGGTGTGCAAATAGCGAAAAAGGGGTATGCGTGGAGGAATTAGGGGGTGTGAGATTACTAGTCCCCTAAAGTTAACAACAATTAAGAGGCGCAGATAATCTCGGAATAAAGATATTAAATCCGGGGAGGGATAAACGCACACCCCCTAATCACTCCACGCACACCCCCTTTTCACTCCACGCACACCCCCCTCTCGTCTGATCTTCTGATTGGCTCGGAGGGCCGGAACCTTGCTCCGGGCGTTTATTTTCACGTGCATCTACACGTGCATCCTTTCCAATTCGTGCAGCCGTATATACAGCCGTAGGTGAGCTCAAATATAAGGCCACACGAATTAGGAAGGATGCACTGTAAAACGGAAAAGCTATATAGCTATGCCGATTTGTATAGCCTCACGTATAGTCTTACGCATAAGCTTACGTATTACTATCTAGTCTAAGTCTAAGTATAGAATAGAGTTCTCTTCTAGAAGTGCCTACGTTCCTATAAGCATGTTAAAACCGTTAAAACCTCACCTTATTACGGCTCCTCTGCATTAAGCCTGGCCCCCTAGCATTGCCGCCTGCACCTACTCCTTATACTAATCCATATACGCCTCAACCTCCCTCTTATATAGAGACCCTAACTAAGTCCGCAACTTCCGCACTAAACTGTTCCGCCTCCGCCAGAATAATAAAGAATTTAGCGTCTTTCTTACTAAATTCCAACGCCTAGCTTTAGAAGGAGAGCTCTCTAAAAAAGCTCTACTAACCCTCTTAGAAGAAGCTATTAACCGCAAACTAAAGGAAATACTACTTTACTATAAACCCCCTAGTAGAGAGTACTATATATTTATAAAGTTCCTTTAAAACCTAGATAACCGCCGTAAATAATATAAAGTGTCTACTACTGTAACCCTAAGAATATACGCTAATGCAAATTAAACCTATTAGGAAACACCCGTTCTTATAGGAATATAAACTGCTATACCTTAGTTATTACCGAGAGCGTCCGGCGCTATAAGAATTATAGAAGTCTCCGGAGACCTAATAGATCTTTTAAAAGGTTGCTTAACTTAATATAAAAGGAAGAAATATTACTGTTGCGGATCTAAGAAATACTTTATCTATAACTGCCCTTAGCCTAATAAACGCTCTATCTGCTCCCGCCCTATTTATAAAAACGCGTCCTTCCGGAGCCCCTTACTGCCCTCTACTAAATATAGAACCCGGATACTGCTAAAACCTGCTTCTCCCCTATTTTCTACTTTAATAAAAGAATTAAGCCTAATATAGGTTATAGCCAGGCTTATATACCGCGCACTATATAAGTATCCGCCGCTACTATCTAAGGGATAACTATTAAAGAGGAACAGGTTATAAGAGCTAACCTGTTAATTATACCTGCACGTTTAGAATACTAGGGCTAGAGTATTCTAGCGCATAGCATAATTAATAGTAGCTGCAAAGGGAAAGCGCTAGTTAATAAAGACTGGGTAAAGCATTACTATATCCTAATAATTCCGCTTAAGTACCCTTTTTACCTGGAACTGGCCGATAGAGGTAATTCCAAAGCGGGTAAAGTAACCTACACTATTTAGGTTTAATTACAGATAAATAAATATTTAGAGACCGTTTAAATAGGGGTAACTAAACTAAGTTATTACCCGATTATTCTAGAAATCCTGTGGCTACGCCTGTATAATCCTGTACTGGACTAGTTCTGCAATACGCTATAGTTTATAAGCTAGTACTATTATAAACACTGTAATATGCTGTAAAAAGCAACGCGTATATAAGGAATTGCTAATATTCTAAAAAAGAACTGCCTGGAGTACCTGCCGCCTGCACTAAAAAACCTAGAAGGGAAGGATATAGCACCCGTTTCCTTGCGCATATATAGCGCCTACCTGTAAAAAGGATATAAACTTTTCTCTATATTACTAGATAATATTAACTATATTCTATCTAAAAAGAAGGGCTTTAACCTAGACCACCTGCCTAAAAAACTATAAAAGTTTACTAATATCTTTTTACCTAAAAACGCCAACTGCCTACTACTGCACCGCCTGTATAACTATAAGATTAAGTTAGAGGAAGGAAAAACGCCCTTCTTTAGACCCTTATACCTAATATCCTATAATAAGCTAATAGCTCTAAGAGAATAGGTAGTAGATAATCTAAAGAAAAGATTTATCCGCCCTAGCTCTTTACCTGCTGTATTACCTGTGTTATTTATAAAAAAGCCTAGAAAAGGCCTCTGCTTCTATATTAACTACTAAGCGCTAAATACTATAATAGTTAAGGACTGCTACCTGCTACTGTTAATAAAGGAAACCTTAAGCAACCTAAAGGGGATAAAGTACTTTATAAAGATTAATATTATATCTGCTTTTAATAACCTATATATAAAAAAGGGTTAAGAATAGCTTACCGCGTTCTAAACCCGACTAGAACTGTTTAAAACCTTAGTAATACTATTTAGGCTTACCGGAGCCCCTGCAATATTCCAACGATTTATAAATAATACTCTGCAAGAGCATCTCGACATTTTCTATACTGCCTACCTGGATAATATTCTAATTTACAGCCGGAACTAAACTAAACACCTGGAGCATATCCGTACTATACTAAAACTGCTATAAAAAGCAGGACTCTACGCAAAGATTAAGAAATATAAGTTCTTTACCAAAGAAATAATATTCCTAGGTATTATTATAGAAGCCAACGGCCTGCAAATAAATCTAGAGAAAATTAAAGCTGTAATAAACTAGGAGACACTAACTTACCTAACTAATATATAAGCTTTTATAGGATTTAGAAACTTCTACTGCTAATTTATTAAAAACTTCTTAAAAATTATTGCTCCGCTAGTACGCCTGATAAAGAAGGGCGTTGCCTTTATATAGAATACTGCCTGTTAGAAAGCTTTTACCGAATTAAAAAAAGCCTTTACCTCTGCACCTGTTCTAGCACTGTTTAACTAGAATAAGCCTATTATTATAGAAACAGATATATTTAATTATATTTTAGCTGGCGTTTTATTACAGTATAGAGATAACAGAATCCTGCGCCCTATTGTATTTTTCTTAAAAAAGCACTTAGTTGCAGAATACAACTACAAAATATATAATAAAAAACTACTTACTATTATCTAATACTTTAAAAAATAGAAACTAGAGCTTAAGGGCGCCGCCTTACCTATTAAAGTTATTACTAACTACTGTAATCTAGAGTACTTTATAATAATAAAACTACTAAACTGCCGCCAGGCCTGCTAGTCTAAATTCCTGTCCTATTTTAACTTTAAGATTATATATTAACCCGGAAAACTTAGGGCAAAGCCCGATTCTCTAACTAGGAAGTTAGAGAACCTGCCTAAGAAAGGGGATAAACGTCTCCGCTACTAGAGCTAGATAATTCTAAAAAGATTAAACTTTAAGAATAAAATAGAAAAAAAAACTATAAGAAAAGTAACCTTTAAAAATAAAGCTAAAATAATAGCTCTAGCACCTATAAGAACCCGGTAAGAAGGCTTATTACTAACTCCCCTAGATAACACCCTGTAAAATAAATAAAAGACTAAGGA